GAGCATTTAAATCAGATATTCAAGTTCATGAATATAAGTTCATTAATATTTACCACTTAAGTTCATTTTATTCGCATTAGTTTAGTGCATGAGGATAAAGATTATTTACAAAAAAGTTCATGTACAAGATTCCCAAAAATAGTAAACCACCATGAATTAGATCCGGGCGTGAACCACGGAATCTTTATTAATTAAATGCAAATAGCTAAAATGCTATTATAAATATATACATTAATTCAAGAATAAATTTCTTATCATACTCCTATTTAGACGAGACAAACTTGATTCCGCGCTTTACATTACCCCACTCCCTTCCGAAAGAGTGGGTAATTTGTGGTTTACACAGTAAAATTTTAAAATAACTTTTCTCTCAAAAAAATTTTCCCGAATTTTTCTGTGGCTATATAAAAATTTTCCGAAATAGCCCATAGCCCTATATATATTTATCAAAATTTTTTACTATGAGGGAGAGGGAGGAGCGCTGGAGGATAATGTAAAACACAAAGTCAAGTTGGTCTCGCCTTACGGAATTTAGCCTAAATCATTGAACTTTTAACAGCCCTTGCCCCGTGTTCAGCGGCACGGGTTCTCACTAGTATTTAAAAACAAATTTAACTATTCTGACTTTTAATCATCACCCGTTTTAAATCGGTGAAAATGTGTTTAAAACTTTTTTTCATCCTTAATTTGAAAATTTTGGGCTGGCAGATAATGTAAAACAAAAAATTAACTTTGCGTGGCCTTAGAGAATAATAAAAAAAAGTGCATTTATAGAGATCAAGTACTATATAGTCAACCCTCTCTAAGTGCAAACTCTCTAAGTGCAACTTCTCTCCAAATGCAACTTTAACTTCTGGCCCAAGTATATGTTTAGTCTCTCTAATGCAATCTTTCTTAATTGTTCTCTAAAAGCATGTTACTAAAAGTCTGGCCCCAACGAATTGCACTTAGAAAGAGTTGACTGGACTTGGGCCGGAAGTTAAAGTTGCACTTAGAGAAGTTGCACTTAGAGAGGGTGCACTTAGAGAGAGTTGACTGCATTAATAAGTGACATCGATAAAAATTCAAAATGTCGCATGGCAATTCCGAATTGTAAATCAAATACCATATGGTTCCAAAAACCTCTCTGCACCATATTTTTTTTTTAAATGTCAGATTAACGGAGATATTAATAAGATATTAGCAATGTTATTACCTATAGTCGTAGATTTAAAAAATGGGGTAGAAAGGTTGTGCTTATTTTCGGAACTATACGGTACGTAGTATATAAACGATACAAACAAGAAACAAAACCTGCGCAATAAAACTTTATTTGATAAGAATAAAAACAAAAAGGTAAAAATTAAATTACATGAAAAAAAATATTGCCATTTTTATAATGATAACGTTGGCAATTGGGGTGACTAGATATATAAAATTGTGCTGAATGAGCAATGGGCATATAAAATTTTATAGACATGTATAAGTAAATTCAAAATAATTATGTTTTATTTATCCATGTAATACAAGTATTAATCTTTTAAAACTAACAATTAAATAACAAGTTTGCACGAAGCGTCACGCGCAGGAATATTTTTAGCATAGTCTTTTTCATACCAATTATTTTTTGGATTAACCAATGATTGTTTAGGGCATTTCTTCCATGAATCAGTTGAAGTGCATTTAACTATTCCATCATTTTTGATTTTTATTGGATCTGCATTAATTAAATGAGAATCGATATACAAGCTTCCTTCTCTCACAGGAGGCAAGATAATTTTTCCTGTAGCAAATGGGAATATACAATTAACGTTATCTAAGCCTGGCCCATTTAAAGCTGGGTCACATACTGGATCTTCATATAGTTCTACATGAAAGCGGCTATTAGCTTTGAAAAAAAATGGATCTCCAAGATATTTTGTATCTGGGAATGGCTGCATAGCAGCTTCAGATAAATTAATGATTATGCCATCTTCTTCTTTTGCGATTATGTGAACTATAGCACCTTTTTTTTTCTGTTCTTTTGTAAATGTTCCTGATGTCAATTTAATTCGAACATTCTCGGCCGAAAGTTGAATAGAGGGCGATTTAAGAAGTAAGTGTTCAATGTGTAATTGGTTTTTTGTGCCATATATGTAAAATGGGATACGGTCTATTGGATAGTCTGCATCTTGGTAAGATAATCCCAAGTTGCGCTTCTTGAGCAATTTAGTCGTTTTCACACTGAAATTTCTTATTGATGATCTTTTAGGAAACCTATGTGAATAAGCATCAATATAAATCATATAAAGGACGGATTAGGATTAATCAATAACGAAATGTAATAAATATTCAAAATTACATACTCTTTTAATACCGTATATGGATCAAAATTTTCTATAATATAAGCTTTGAAGGAGTTTCCTTCTGTTGCAATTTGGTCGATTGTAATATTTTCTTGGTAACAAAGTAATAACACTTTTGAAGGATTTTTTTTACGAAAGTTCTTGTACTCATACATTATTCTCTCTGGTATTTCAGCCTTAATAATAACTTGAAAACGATGGGTTTCTAATTGAAATAATGGTAAATGCACTAAATAAATTTCATCTGTGCCTTGAATAATAAATAGATGTGTTGTGTAATTATGACTTTTATCTTTTGATTGATTTTCTTCAGCTGATTTAATTCTGTTAAAGTGTATGGGTGTTATTGTATTGCGCATAGCTGAAAGCTGCGGATTACAAGGACATTAATTATAGAAAACAATAATAAAAAAATCATTTGAAGATTAAATTTACCTCAGCAAGTTCTTTCAAGGTTTCCTTAAAAGTATTTGTAAGTGCAGTAATAAAATCGAATTCTGTAGGCCAAGGATTCATGACTACATTAATTAAAACATAGAGATCTTGGTTGCCTTTTAAACCAAGACGGTTCTTAAAGTTCGCAAGACAATGACCATAAGAACTCTGCTTAAGAACTGTGGAAGTAAGAATCAACGGTTTTGTTTTGTTAGCTTGCCTGTAAGAGGTAAGTGAGAATTTTTCGAATAGGTGTTGATTTAGATAATTTGCTTCAGCTATGTCTTCGTTCACTTTGCCTTTCACTTTAAAGTTGCATGCGAAAGCATTTATTATAAGATCAGAACCAACTTGCTTAATTAAATTCAAGGCTTCTTCATTCATTATAATCTCCAAATTTGATTTGGTGACAATCAGTTCTCTGATCTTTTGTTTTTGTTGTTTGACTTCTTTTAAATTTGGTGGATTGAGCTTCTCAGCAGGCAACATGTTGAATGGAATAACAATAAAATTATCTTTATCAGTTGACATAGTGGCCCAGTAACAATAGATCTGTATTGAAGAATGAGACAGTTATTTATATAATAGGATTTAAGATGATTGGTTACTCTGTACATATAATATTGCACCTTGCTGCAAGTAAAAGTTGCTTGTCCTAATAATGCTCCATAACCTCTTTGATGAAGCCCAATTACATCATGAGAAAGCCAAGCAGCTACTGGAGCCGCGCCAGGTTTGCTAGAAAATTAAAAGTGTTACTACTGGAATATGTTAATATCATATTTATTAACTCAAGACCTACCTTCCTTCAACACCATAAATTCCCATACTTTCTTCTTTAGGACGAGTTACAACTGGACTTGTCCATGTAACCAGATATCTCATACGCTGGTCTCGATAACATAAACCACCGGCAGGAAATGGGATGTATCCACTTTTGTGCGGATCAATGGTGACGGAGTCACAATCTTTTAAGCTGTACAAATGCTTCCTTGTATAAGGATTCAACGCCAACATAGGAACAAAGGTATCATGCTCTTCATTATCATTATAACCTTCTAGAAAATCATCAAGCGGTGAATTTTTGGGGGGTTCAACAAGCATCGTACGGAAGTATCCACCCCATGCAGCATCTGCATGAATGACAAAGCTAAGTCCGTATCTGCGTTGATATCGATCTCGAAGCGCCACGATATCAGCCAAAGGATCGCAAGCACCTTGTTCAGTTGATCCCATAATCGCAACTACTGCATAAACAGCTTGTTGATTCCTAACGCATTTTGCAAGCTCTTTGTCAAGCTCTTTAACATCCATTCGTGCAGCAATGTCTACTGGAGTACTTATCAAATTTCCAGATCCAATCCCGACAATAGCTTTAAATAAGATAAGTTACAATAATAGAATTTATTATATAATTTATTAAAGTCAAAAAAAATTTTAAAAAAATGCATTCTCACCACAACCCTTAGGCCATGAGTAATGGTGTGTGCTACTTGCAAAGTACAATGATGGTTTTGTGATACCAAATTTTTGTTCTAGATAATTCATTCCTACAGTCTGAATGCTGTAGTTATTAAGAGAAGTCTGCAAAAACTGAGAAGAAATTCCATACTTTTGATAAAGTCGTTCTGGGATGTTTAACACAGTGGTCGGTTTGAGATTAAGTAATTCCCAAGTGGTACAATCCTTAAGAAGCTTATTCTCCAAACCATTTGCTAATTCAACGGTAAAACTTTTGCCAATAAATGACAATTGACCTTTATCAATGGCAAGGCGAAGAGACAGTGGATAGAATTTAAGGTTACGTGCTAGTGATGAAAATAGAGTTCGATATTTTAGTATTCTAGAATTTTTAAAATAACTTTTTTCAAACTACTGTAATTTTGCACTTGGCTAACTTACTAGCCCTGAAAACAAATTATAAAAAGTTCAAATATTATAAATTTAATAAGTTAAATATAAATTACAATTAGAACAAATTAAATATGAGTTACAATTAAGTATATAATCAAACTTTGGGAAAACTACCAAATGGATTCCAGATTTGCTACAGAACCGTCACAGGTAATATGACCCCAACTTTGAATGCCTTGAGTATCAAAACTATAAATATTTTCATCCTCTTGGTCAAGATTATCCAAATTGATATTTAGATTATTAGCAATGTTAAATCCAAGCATTCCGCATAACTGATTTCCAACATCAACCTCGAGCAAAGTGGTTAGTGGAGATCCTTCAGTAGCAATGTTATTTTGGTTGTATTGTAAGGCTGCCACATAACCAAGATTGCTTGGCATGGTCGTTTCTGTAACCATGTGACCCATATAACGAGGTGACCAAAATGGTACGGTTCTTTCATTGAGTTTCTCTAAGAGTTTGTTGAGTTGACTTCTCAGATATTCCATATTATTTTTGAACTCTTTAGAGTTTTGCATCTGAGTGGTAATGAAATGCGGATCTGCAGTATCAAAGTACATCATTCTTCCTTCCGCCTGAAGGTCAATTATATTGTTATAAAATTCTTTGATAAACTCTTTATTCTCAGCACGCGGACCAAAAAACCAGGAAGCGATCATGTTATTTACGTGATGAAAACAGTCTTTTGCTTCTTTTGACATATTTTTTAATATATATTCCCATTTAAAAGTAAATTTAGGAAATCTCTACAGTGAATTTAAATACTTTTTTGTTGTGTTAAACGGGTTGTTCATGGTAATTGTGATGGCCGACTCAACTCCAAAAAGTTAGGAGTCGTGTCTGTAGATCAGAAGTCAACTCGAAATTTTGCCTATGCATACGTAATTATTAGGGAAGTTAAAGTTTGTCTGGACCGATCCCATCCTTGTTCTTAAAGTTCAGTGCAGATCAGATTTTGGCGACACTAAAAAAAAAAATAAACCAGACTCGAATCATATAAATTTTATATGATTGAAGTCCGGTTTTCTCTTTGCGCCATCCATTTGAAATCAAGGGGGGAGTTTAGTGAAATCTGGCTATTTATTACTAGTCCTGTCAGCATTTGAACAATCATTGAAAACAAACAATATATATATATATATTCGTGTTACATATTTAATGAATTATTCATGTGTTCCTTAGGACTCAAAATCAATGTGCCTATGCTGAGTCGACTCAAAAGATCGATTATAGTGAGCTTTTCAACAATTCTAGGTAATTGTCGCTCATAGAAAAACTTTCATATGATTGGCAGTTTAATCAGATTTGATTTTATATTGTTTATACAGTTTATAGTACTTTTAAAAAAAACATCAAATAACAAGTATATAGAAAGTTTTATTAGGTTGTTGGACGCACTATTAAGAGTAATAAAAATCCTTTTTGTTTTAAAGAAGTTAGCATAATAATGACTTCTGAAAACTAGATAGAATTAGGTTTTTATCACGCTAACTTATAGTGGAATCCTACGAACTTAAAAAACTTTATACTTTTTTTATATATTCTTTGTAATTTTTTTTTATTTATTCTTTGTAATTTGTTTTTTTTTTTATTTATTCTTTGTAATTGTTTTTGTTTATTTTTATTTATTCTTTGTAATTGTTTTTATTTATTCTTTGTAATTGTTTTTTTTAAAGTACATTAAACTGTATAGAAAATGTAACATTAAATTGATTCAAACAGTCAACCTTATGAAAGTCTTTCATGAATTGTCGCATTAATGTCATTAATCACATCGCGTAATAAATAATTAAGGATTCGACAATCACCAATGAAAAACTGTATAACAACACTATTTTCTATACAAGGTTATACCAATTAGGGTTATAACAATCTAAATTAATTAAAAATTACAAGTTTATGCGGTGTATACGCATTTCAATTATATTAATAATAATAATAATCTCCAATTACTACACCACTAGTAATTTAAATTTGTTTAAAAAATTA